CCCGATGTCTACATTAACCCTGGGCTCCTGGGTTTTGTTTAAGGGCAAGGAAATTATTTGGGACATATAAAAGGAACTTTTCCTGCTTCCCAGATCAGTTTCTCCCGTGTTACTTGCGGTTACACAAAGAGTAAGGCCTTCTTAAAATGGGGGGGTAAGCCCGGTGGCGGGATGGGAGTGGGGGGTGTTTCCCCGGGGTGTGTTCAGTGCTGTGTACCCGCATCGGCACGGATGTCACGTTGGGAGCAGCGGTGGTGTCCCAGTTGTTTTCCTTGGGGTTGGCCACATGGGGATCCACGGAACACCAGTGCGAGTAGAAACGGCCCTCCCGTGGAGCAGGGATGCATACGTGCCGTGTGAACGAGGCCCATCTGTTTCATAGTTCGTCTGGCTGGAAAAAGACAAACATCCATCCAGTTCAACCATAAAAAAAAATGTATAATCCGACACCCAAAGTTGATCCAGAGGAAGGCAAAAAAAAAACCAGCAGAGCATGATAAAATTTGCTCCTGCAGGGGAAAAAATTCCTTCCTGATCCCCCGAGAGGCAATCGGATATTCCCTGGATCAATTTTACCTATAAATGTTATATCCAGTTATATTCTGTGTATCTGTGAGCACTGTAGTTCTGGCAATGACCACAAGGCAGCGCTACACTTTGCTTAGCCACTGTGCTGCCCCATTGTAGTTCTGACATTTACCACAAGGAGGCGGTGCAAATCCATAATGAATAGCGAGGTGCTGCAGTACTAACAATCGCTACACGGGAGCGCTTCCATTAGAACAATAGGCAAACTTTATTATTATTAATAATAGAAATAATAATAGTAGTAATAATAATAGAAATAATAATAGTAGTAATAATAATAACAACAGAAATAGTAATAATAGTAGTAATAATAATAATAATAGAAATAATAATAGTGATAATAACAACAGTAATAATAATAGTAATAATAGTAGTAATAGTAATAATAATAGTAGTAGTATTAACAATAGTAGTAATAGTAACAATAATAATAGTAGGAATAATAATAGTAGTACTACTAAATGAGTTCAGTTCTAACATTGACCACACTGTGGCGCCTTTGCAAAATGAGTAATTTTGGCTGCAATTCTGTGGTTCAGCACACGTAATATTACGAGCTGCAGTTCTCAGCAATGTCCACACAGCTCTCATGCTAATAATTACGGCTGTAGTTCTGATATTCACTACAATGCGGCACAACGTGATAAAATATTAGTAACTGCATTTCAAAGCATGGCCACACGGCAGCGCATTGGTTACTGCAGTTGTTATGATTTTTCACCAGGTGGTGCGCTTCAAATCTGTGCAATTCTAGAGATGACCACCAGATGTCCTATGGGTAAATGCCGAAACTGCAGTCCTAAATGTAACCACACGGTGGTGCTCTTGTAGAACGCAGCAAGCTCAGTGGAGCGCACAAGTAGGGGGTTGGTGGAATGCACAATCAGGAAGTAGGGATTGGTGAACCGCACGTACGGGAAGTAGGGGGTTGGTGGAACGCATAGGAAGGAAAAGGCTAGAGTCTCGCCCACACTTGTTCGGACCTGCCATGGACTTTGGCCCGAAACCAAGATCGCTATCTGGGTGCCATAAGTTGACGTCTAATAGGCCAACCCCTCATAAGAGCCCGCCCTTCCTACACACCTTACCCCCCCCCCCCCACAGGGGAGACACCCTTTCCACCTTCTTTGAGGTCCCCGGGCTCCCCGCTTCCTTCACTTCCGGTCTGTGCGTTCCACGGCCCCCGACACCACCATCATGGCTGCCAGAGCCGGCCGGAAGTGGGGAGCTCAGCACCGGAAGTGGTGCAGATATTTCCTGTGCTGCAGGACTGAGCATAGGGGAGGTTGGTGAGTGTATTGTCCTCATTGTGGGTGGAGTTGGGGAGATTTTATCTCCTTTCCAGGGACAGGTCTCTATAGTGTGGGGCTGTCCCCTAAAAAATCAATCCCCTGCAGTGTTACCTGTCGGTGTTCCAGTCCCAGGAATGCTGGGGGATCTGTCCCTGGAAATGTCCTGATTATTATTCCCGCTGTGGTTAGTTGGAGTTCTTTTTGCCTCCTGCGTACAGCGCCGTATTCACCTCGTCAGGGAACGATGGAGCTGGGCATTGGGGTCTATTATGGGTGGAGGAGATTTATATTAAAGCAGAACTTCATTACTCCTTCTGGGTGGCTCCACCCCCCTTGGGCACCACCGTTATGGCGCATGCACAGGATGTGCCCATGGGTTGTGCTTGTCCTTCTGGTCCCCAAAGAGCCCATCGGCACCTCTGTGCAGGTGAATCTCCGCGCGTTCGTGCACAAAAAATGAAATTTCGTGGACTTTCCTGGCAGTAGTCTTTGCGCTGGAAACCTCGCCCACATGCAGGTGGCCAGAGAAGCCGACAAAAGCGCAGGTGTGCCGTAGGGCTCTCTGGGGACCCTACGGCACAGGGGCAGGAAGAACAAAATTCTCATCCAGGGAAAACATGGAAGTGCTCATGTTTGATCATCTCACGGGGTCTGCCTCATGGTCTGGCTTACTGGAGCCACAAAATGGAGAGGCAGGGAGGCAGATATACTACAACTAGACGTAAGTCCAAGCTATCAGGAGATTGGTGGGGCGTGGCTTGATAGGGAGAAGGAGATCTTTAAACTGAGGTCAGAGTCATTGTGGTGGAACACAGTCAACAGGTGGACAACGGTGGCAAAAGTATGGCGGGACGGCCATATCAGCTCAATCTACTACCTACACTTTGACTACAGGCTGTCTCACATTTTTCCAGTTGGAGGAAGGGAGATCACAGCAACGCGTCTTCCTCATTTCCTTAGATATATTGGTTCTGTTATACAGTCCTCTGTGTGACTGGCACTAGTGATGGTGATGTCACTGCTCCTGTCTGCCAATCAGCTGAGGTCTCGGAGCCAGAAGATCAGAGATATACTGAACTATTTTACCAGCAGGAGCCAATCCAGAGCTGTCAGAGTCAAGACTACAGCAACATCCCAGGTCTGGTCTTTTATAGATAGGCCTGGGAACAGGACTGATTGCATCACAACCGTTTCTTGTTAGAGTTACATTCAACACAACCCTGGCCAGAGTTGGTCCACCTTAGATAAGGCTGTAAACAGGGGAAGTCTAGCTATGAGGATGGGCCTGGAAACGGGACCAGTTAGATCATGGCCTTCATTGTTGGAGTTACAACCATCACAACTCTGGCCAGATCAGGGGAACCATAGTTAGTGTTGTAATTTGGGTAGGTCTGGCTTGATCATGTCCATCATTGTTGGAGCTTCAAGAAATCCAACTGCAAGCAGAGGAGGGCCACCATACATAGGCCATGACCAGACAACTCTAGTAGGGTCATGGTCACCATCATTTGAGTTACAGCCAACACAACTCTGGCCAGAGTTGGTCCACCTTAGATAAGGCTGTAAGCAGGGGAAGTCTAGCTACTATGCATATGGGCCTGGGAACAGGACCGGTTAGATCATGGCCTTCATTGTTGGAGGTACGACCATCACAACTCTTGCCAGATTAGGGGAACCATACTTAGTGCTGTGACTTGGCCAGTTCTAGGTAGATCATGGCTATCATTGTTGGAGTCACAAGCAACCCAGTCCTAAGCAGACAAGGGTCACCATACATAGGCTGTGACCAGACAGCTCTAGTTGGATCATAGCCACCATCGTTTGAGTTACAGCCAACACAACTCTGGCCAGAGTTGGTCCACCTTAGATAAGGCTGTAACCAAGGGAAGTCTAGCTATGTGCCTTTATTGGTTTTCGTCACTACCATCACAACCCTGGCCAGATCAGGGAGCCTTACTTAGTGTTGTGACTTGGATAGGTCTGGCTAGATCATGGCTATCATGTTGGAGCTTCAAGAAATCCAACCCTAAGCAGAGGAGGGCCACCACACACATAGGCCGCGACCAGACAACTCTAGTTGGATCATGGTCACCATCTTTGAATTACAGCCTACACAAATTTGGTCAGATTTAGTCCACCATAGATAAAACTTTAACCAGGGAAAGTCTAACTAGACAGACAGGCCTGGGAACAGGGACAGTTAGAGCATGACCTTCATTGTTGGAGTTACAAGCAACACAAAATTGGCCAGATCAGGGTCACCATATTTAGTACTTAGGTTTGGGCAAGTCTAGCTAGATCATGCCCACCATTGCTAGAACTACAAACCAGCACACTCCTAGCCTGATCTAAGCCACCATACTTAGGATCATGATCTTTGGTTATAGCCCTATTATGGCCACGACTTCTGGAGTCACAGCTTTAGCCAGACCAGGACCATCATAGCTTCAGTCAGCTGCAGCTTAGCTGGTGACAGAGGAAAAGTTCAACTGTATTTTATTACTTATGTAACATGTTGAACACCTCTACATCCTATCATAGAAGAGCATTACATGGACAGTAGCTGATTTCTTTGAAATCTGAACATGGCAATTCTATGATCTACATTTTCTTCATTTGGAATTCTCCATACACAGGTTTAAAAAAAAGAGGAGACAAAAAAAGAGGTGACCTCAAGCACCCAAGATCCTAAGCAGGAGCCGTCCACATCACAGTGCCTCCATTCCACTTCCTTAAAGAAGACCATTCTAGAAGTCACCCAGAAGATCATTGATCTGCTGACAAGGGATTGTCTGGATGGTGACTGTACCATTGTGTGTGTCAGGATGTCACTGTCTATTTCTCCATGGAGAGTGGGAGTATTTAGGACACACAAGGACCTCTACAAGGAGGTCATGATGGACAATCAGCCGCCCTCACATCACCGGGTAAGAGGAGATTTTATTGTAAAGGAGAGAGCAGTACGGAGGGTCCACCTAGATCCCCCATCATCTGATAAACACATAGAAACAATGGATTCAGTCAGTGTGTGTGTTTCCTACAGATAGATCCAGTAATGTGAACCCACCAGAGAGATGTCCCCGTCCTCTGTATTCCCGGGATTCCACACAGGAAGGTCACACCATTCCCCACCATCATCAAGTAGATGGATCCAGTAATGGGAACCCCCCAGAGAGATGTCCCTATCCTCAGTATTCCCAGGATTCCGCACCGGAAGGTCACATCATCCCCCACCATCATCAGGTAGATGGATCCAGTAATGAGAATCCACCAGAGAGATGTCCCCGTCCTCTGCATTCCTGGGATCCCACACAGGAAGGTCACACCATCCCTCACCATCATCGGGTAGGTGGATTTACGGACCACAGTAGCATTTAGCAGGTATATAGTGCATTAGTCTAATATTTATGTTTACATTTTCTAAACTTTTAGACTGAAAACCGGAGGGACATCAATGTTATGGTAAAAGAGGAATCAGAAGAGGAGGAGATCATAATCCCGGTGGTGGTGAAGGAGGAAAAGGACTTTCCTACAGAGATCAGGACACGTGAGTAATAAACATGACATTGAGAGAAGATTCTGTCTCTACAAAAGTTCCTTGCTCCCCTTCTTCTGTCAGCAGACAGCAGTGAGGATGCCATGTGCTCATCTGGTCCGAGCCTTCAGACCTTATCAGATCCCAAATGTCTGACACACATTATTCAGTTGTGTGTTGCTGATCCAGAGATGTAACCCACCTTCCCATCTACCACAGATAACCACCTATTATTGTTGTGGGTTCCTAAAAGGGAGAAGATAAGCTTGCTTAACAATCAGCATAACATATACACCAAACAGCCATAACATTATGACCACCCGCCATAACCCGTTAAGGCATGGACTCCACTAGACCTCGGAAGGTATGCTGTGGTATCTGCACCAACCCACCTTTAAGTCCTGTAAGTTGTGAGTTGGGCCTCCATGGATCGGACTTATTTTTCCAGCACATCCAACAGTTGCTGATTTGGATTGAGATCTGGAGAATTTGAAGGCCAGATCAATACCTCATTGTGTTCCTCAAACCATTCCTCAAACTCATCAGACCAGGCCACCTTCTTCCATTGCTCCGTGGTCCAGTTCTGATGCTCACGTGCTCATTGTAGGCATTTTTGGCTGTGGACACGGATCAGCATAGGCACCCTGACCAGGTTGCGACTACAGAGCCCCATACACAACAAACTGCGATGATCTGTGTGTTCCGACACCTTTCTATCAGAACCAGCATTGCATTTTTCAACAATTTTAGCTCAAGTAGCTCTTCTATTGGATTGACTACACAGGCCAGCCTTTCGTCCTCATGTACATCAGTGAGCCTTCCTGCCCATTTCCATCAATAAGCCTTCCTCCCCCCACCTCCATCAATGAGCCTTCCTTCGCCCCACTTCCATCAATGAGCCTTCCCTCGCCCCACTTCCATCAATGGGCCTTCCCCCCCCCCCACCTCCATCAATGAGCCTTCCTTCCCCCCACCTCCATTAATGAGCCTTCCCTCCCTACCTCCATCAGTGAGCCTTCCCTCCTCACCTCCATCAGTGAGCCGTCCCTCCCAACCTTCATCGATGAGCCTTCCCTCTCCACCTCCATCGATGAGCCTTCCCTCCCCACCTCCACCGGTGAGCCTTCCCTCCCCACCTTCGTCGGTGAGCCTTCCCTCCCCACCTCCGTCGGTAAGCCTTCCCTCCCCACCTCCGTCGGTAAGCCTTCCCTCCCCACCTCCATCGGTAAGCCTTCCCTCCCCACCTCCATCGGTGAGCCTTGTCCACCCATGACCCTGTCTCTGGTTGACCAGTTCTCCATTCTCAGAACACTTTTGGTCAGTCCTGACCACTGCAGACCAAGAACATCCCACAAGAGCTGCAGTTTTGGAGTTGCTCTGACCTAGCTGTCTAGCCATTACAACTTGTCCCTTGTCCAACTTATTCAAATCCTTATGCTCACACAACCATTTTTTTTTCTTGCTTTAATTACATCTACTTCAGGGACAACATGTTCACTTCCTGCTTAATAGATCCCACCCACTTGGAATGAGAAAATCAATGTTATTCACTTTACCTGTCAGTGGTCATGATGGTACGGCTGAGGTCGGTGTATATAAGTAAGACTCTGGAAGAAACCTGGGACCCTTTTCCTAGCCACCAGGCCACAATCGTCTCCACAACTAGTATCTCCATTAGCAGAAGGCCTGAAAAATGGCTTTTGGCTGTTTCAGAACTGCCATTTCAGGGCCTGGCATCTAAGCCTCAGGGACGGTCTGTTTCCGGGACCTTAATGCGGATATGGTTGAGGTATAGCTTTTGCGTTATGTTACCTCTTCTCAGGATCGTCCATTGGGTTGGTTTTGTCCTGATGAAGCTGAACAGTAGAAGACAGGTAGGAAAATCTGGTCTCAGTGGCCTGTGCAAAAAATACCACAATGGAAAGGTCCTCCAGCATCCCTTCCTTCAGAGCGAACCTGTCCATTCAGGGTAGAGCAATGGGTTCGCTTAAAGCAGACCTTCACTCAAAATGAACACTTCGCATCATTTGAATCCTCACCTGCCATCTTTTTTTGCAGATAGTCACTTTCCCCACTTCCTCATTCCTTGTCTAGGTGAAGGTGATGTAGCCTTCAGCTTTTAGGTACCACAGATACCATGGAGATCAGAGGTCACATGTCAACTGACCTGATATGTACAGTGGGGATCGAAAGTTTGGGCACCCCAGCTAAAAATTTGTATTAATGTGCATAAAGAAGCCAAGGAAAGATGGAAAAATCTCCAAAAGGCATCAAATTACAGATTAGACATTCTTATAACATGTCAACAAAAGTTAGATTTTATTTCCATCATTTACACTTTCAAAATAACAGAAAACAAAAAAATGGCGTCTGCAAAAGTTTGGGCACCCTGCAGAATTTATAGCATGCACTGCCCCCTTTGCCAAGCTGAGACCTGCCAGTGTCATGGATTGTTCTCAATCATCGTCTGGGCAGACCAGGTGATGTCAATCTCAAAGGTTTTAAATGCCCAGACTCATCTGACCTTGCTCCAACAATCAGCACCATGGGTTCTTCTAAGCAGTTGTCTAGAAAACTGAAACTGAAAATAGTTGACGCTCACAAAGCTGGAGAAGGCTATAAGAAGATAGCAAAGCATTTTCAGATGTCAATATCCTCTGTTCGGAATGTAATTAAGAAATGGCAGTCATCAGGAACAGTGGAAGTTAATGCAAGATCTGGAAGACCAAGAAAAATATCAGACAGAACAGCTCACAGGATTGTGAGAAAAACAATTCAAAACCCACGTTTGACTGCCTCCAGAAAGATTTGGCAGACACTGGAGTTGTGGTACACTATTCCACTATAAAGAGATACTTGTACAAATATGGTCTTCATGGAAGAGTCATCAGAAGAAAACCTCTTCTACGTCCTCACCACAAAAATCACCGTTTGAACTTTGCAAATGAACATATAGACAAGCCTGATGCATTTTGGAAACAAGTTCTGTGGACCGATGAGGTTAAAATTGGACTTTTTGGCTGGAATGAGCAAAGGTACGTTTGGAGAAGAAGGGGCACAGAATTTAATGAAAAGAACCTCTGTCCAACTGTTAAGCATGGGGTTGGATCAATCATGCTTTGGGGTTGTGTTGCAGCCAGTGGCACAGGGAACATCTCACGAGTAGAAGGAAAAATGGATTCAATAAAATTTCAGCAAATTTTGGATGGTAACTTGATGCCATCTGTGAAAAAGCTGAAGGTAAAGAGAGGATGGCTTCTACAAATGGATAATGATCCTAAACACACCTCGCAATCCACGGGGGATTACATCAAGAGGCGTAAACTGAAGGTTTTGCCATGGCCTTCACAATCTCCTGACCTCAACATAATTGAAAATCTATGGATAGACCTTAAAAGAGCAGTGCGTGACAGACAGCCCAGAAATCTCAAAGAACTGGAAGACTTTTGTAAGGAAGAATGGGCAAAGATACCTCAAACAAGAATTGAAAGACTCTTGGCTGGCTACAAAAAGCGTTTACAAGCTGTGATACTTGCCAAAGGGGGCAGTACAAGATATTAACTCTGCAGGGTGCCCAAACTTTTGCAGATGCCATTTTTTTGTTTTCTGTTATTTTGAAAGTGTAAATGATGGAAATAAAATCTAACTTTTGTTGACATATTATAAGAATGTCTAATCTGTAATTTGATGCCTTTTGGAGATTTTTCCATCTTTTCTTGGTTTCTTTATGCACATTAATACAAATGTTTAGCTGGGGTGCCCAAACGTTCGATCCCCACTGTAAATGATGCCTTTTTGGCCTCCACTATTCTGTCATGGCTTTCTCCATAATTCTGTTTTTTTTTCCCTCTTGCTTACAGGCAGAAAAGTCATTAGAAAAACCACAGAAAAGGATAACTTTTTCATCTTCGGTCTGTAAACAGAATGCCGTCACTCACAACTCTTTAGGAAGAGGACCGGATCACCGTAACCCCGAGGAACCTTGTCCTGGTCAATCGGCGCTGGACACGTTTTCCTGTTCAGAATGTGGAAAGTGTTTTTCAGGATTGTCCGCTCTTATCTCACACCATGAAACTCACACTGGTGAGGGTCCCTTCATTTGTTCCATGTGCGGGAAATGTTTCACAGCAAAAACAGAGCTCGTCTTGACAGGCAAGAATCAGTTTTTGTGCTGCGCTTGTGGCGAAGACTTGGGGCAAGAATCCAGTCTTGGACAGAAGACCGCTGTAGAGAAGCCGTATTCTTGTGCGGAGTGCGGGAGGTGTTTTGCAAGTCAGGCTTCTCTCGACAGGCATCAGCTGACTCACTCTGGGGAGATGAAGTTTGAGTGTGTGGACTGCGGCAAACATTTCCCCTTCCGGTCTAAGCTTTTGCAGCACCGCAGGATGCACACGGGTGAGAGACCTTACGTGTGTTTGGAGTGCGGCCAGTGTTTCGCGTGGTCCTCCCACCTCCGCGCTCACCAGAGAAACCACGAAGGCGTGACTTTTCCTTGTGTCGAGTGTGGGAAGTGTTTTAAGGAGAGGTCGCGGCTGCTCGCTCACAAGAAAATTCACGCTGGCGAGGCACCGTTTACCTGCGCGGAGTGCGGGAAAGGTTTCATCACAAAGACTGACCTCAGCAGTCACAACAGGGTTCACACGGGGGAGAAGCCATATTCGTGCGCGGAGTGTGGACAGCGGTTCGCCTGGTCGTCGCTGCTCCGTAGTCATCAGAAAATGCATTCAG